TGTAGAAATTAGAGAGTTTTGTAACTCACCGTCTTTGTCACGGCTAGACTTATGGCGAAAATTTAAACGTTTTTCTTAAAATCACTTCATCGATATCGGTAGTCAAAATTTCTCAACGACTATAAAAACGATCGCGTTCAAATTTTCTACACTTCTTTTAGGCATATTTTTTTAAACCCTGAACGAAAGATCTATTTTATCTCTGATTCCAACTCATTTTACAAGCCAAAATGTGTTTTTTTTTAAAAAAACGCTACAAAATTTCAATTTTTAATTTTTCCAAATTTTTCTTCATTCAGAGACAAGAAAAAGTCACCCACTTTAAGAGAAAATTCAAATTTAATAAAAAAATTAAAATTGAAAAAGTTATCATGACTGCCGCGAAAGCACTTTTTTGTGGACGGTCTACTTCATGATACTGTCAACGCCTTAACTTATGCTACTTTTCATTCAAAATTTCATCAAATCTTGGCCACATATTGCACTTTTATATGTAAACAAAATAAATTGTATACTTTATTTAATATCTTTTAAAAAAATTTGAGAAAATAAGCTTTTTTTGCCCTTTAAGATCTATATAACCCCTTTAAGGAGACATGAAGCTCCTTTTTGAAAATTCAGTGTTCATAAGAGTCCTCTTACGTTGTCCAACTCTACTTGTTTACGCTGGATACAACATCCAAATTGCAACCCAGGCATCTCCTGACAAGCAGCTAACTTCGAATATTACTGTTACAATGTAATTTTATTGCTTGACAAGGCTTGGCGAAGCTTAGCTGCTTCTGCAATAGATTCAAAGGAAAATAACGACAATGAATATGAGCACGACACATCAAAACCTTCGGCAAAGTTGTCAGTTAAGGATTTCAGAGCCTCATTTAATATCCGTACAAATCTTCTGCCCACAAAACGAATGTGATGAGAAGGCAGTTCAGGCGCTGTTGCCCTCAAAATAGTTACTGAGCAGTCTGAGTAGCAGCAAAGTGTCTTAAAGCAAGCCAAAAAAAAAGATTTATTTTGAAATACTAATTAATTAATAAATTAAAATAAATTGTCAACCCTCAATAATTCGAAATTTCTGTTTTTTAACCCGAAATTTTAGAGCCTTTTGATATTTCAAGCCCTGGATAGTTCATCGTTTTCGAAAAGTTCCTCGAGATTCAAATTAACGAGAGCGGACTGTGCTCGTATTTATTTACATGGCAAATTACGCTTAAAAATACCACAAATCACTTCAGTATTTGAAAGATCATACGAGCATATTTTGAAATCTGATATGCAAATGAGTTTAGTTGTTGATCTAACTTCAGATCACCATTATGTAAATAAATATATATATATGCTTATGTTGCATATTACCCACTTTCGCTAGTTATTTATATCTTGTAATAATGTTTGACATCAGTTTGTGATGATATTCTTTACTTTCTCTCTGGATTAATTACGCAGATGTGGGCTGATAAAATCAAAGACATGAAATACCTTGAGTTTGAGAAATTACCGTAATTTGGAAATCATCACTGATTAGGTGTAGGTAAAATTTAAAATAAAATTTTTGACATCCGCTGGTTATGAAAATGGTCAAGAACTATAAAAGTCTGAAGATTGAACATTCCACATTATAGATTCAAGAAAACGTGCAACAGAAATTGCTGCGCGCTCATAATGATTTCTGCGAAGAAACAAAAACTCATTTGCCTTTTTTTGTGGCAGATGGTCGCAGATTGGGTAACAAACGTATATATTTTTAATTCTTCTCGGAGAAAGCCTCATTATCTGCTTTCCAGAACAACGCAGCCACAAGCAGCGACATAACAAAGTCAAACACTACACGCCCTTGCTACGGCAACTTGACACGGCAACTATCACGGGCGCCGCTGAGGAGGATGATGACTTAACCGGCACAGCCACAGGCACTGGCAGTGGCAGGGACGTGTCTACCAGCGAGACAGCAGCTGAGGAAGAGGACGAGCTTAATTATGTTAGCCATGAAAGCAATACAAAACCATCAGATGCATTGATTTTAGTCAACCCTAAACAGAGCGCTGATACGTCACGCATGTTTAAAGGTTTCTTCTTAAAAAGACTACTGGGTTCTGGCATCGGTGGTGGTGGTGGTGGTGGTGATGATAGTAATGGCAGTGCCAATATGCCATATTTCATTTTCAATTCTCCGAATAACATTACAAATATCAATATAAATAGTTTGAATAACACGGGGTCGGTGGAAACTAACACTACAACAACCACTACCACCACAACTGCTGCTCCGGGCCGTCGTCAATTATTTTACGAAGATATACCTTTCACGACTGCACCGACGGAAATTTACCATCAACGTCGCAGTAAACCTGAGCAACAGGCGCAGAATTTCATACTCAGTCCGAGTAATCAGTTGGTTCCAGTGTACTTGCCACCCGAAATACAACATCTGATGCGGAGTAATCCTATGGGCCAAAGACGGCGTGCGCAATTGAAAAGAAAAAATGTGAAAAATCAAAACAATTTTAGTCCATTTTCTTTTTTGGGTAATAATTTAAGACACATTCAATATTTGTGATCTTTGGTGTTGAATAAAGTGAGAGAATGATTTTTATGGGAGTCAAGGGGATTTCGCTTTTACCCACACTTTAGAGTTGAGGAAAGAGGGCTTCTACCGCCTTTCTTCCTTTGGTAACTATGCTGCTATTGTAGTTAATTAAAGGCTTTTCCATAGCGATTTTGCAACTTCAAACTGGCACTGTGAACGCATCATTAATCCGTATAAAAATTTTTAAATGACGAAAAAAAAGGAAAGTCGACATCAACACAATATCACCATTGGTGAAGTATACGAACGAACAACGTTAACAAAAATTGAAGTTAACTACTGACACGAAAAGTCGATAGTCGCAACTTTAAGAGCGCTTACGTCATTTTCCTCGAAAACCTCGTCCCAGTTGGCAAGGAATTGATAGTCTAGTGAACAAATTTGAATCAGCATATCCTCTGTTTGATGCTCCAGTCTCAGTGAGACTTCGGTTTACCCGAAGTGTGGAGAATATTACGTCGGTCGAAGCGTTCGTTTCAAACAACGCTTTAACAGTACTGGAGTATCTGAAACTGAAGACATGCCAATTCATTTTTATTAGCACATCAAATCATCAGCTATTCCGAAAGTCGAAGATCACCATACGTAGACCAACTGGTAGTTAACTAGTATGAAACAGATGCAAAGCTGTAAAACTTACGTTTAATTAGTGATCTTTAAGTTAAAAATGATGGACGATGATATGGGAAAGATGGATAGTTGAACAAGTAAACGAAAAATTATAAACTCGCAGCATTCTAGCATCTAGTATCTTTCTCTGCCTGAATGATCTCTGATTCTCTGACTCAGTTCAATCCACTGTAGCCTCAATCCCTTAATACTCAACCTGCGTAAATGCTATGAGTATATGAACTAGATGCGTTCTCATATATATCCTGTGATGTAGGTCCTCTTCGGAATTGTATCATTAATCGTGCTCAATTCATAAAGATAAGTTGTCCAGTGACTAAGGGAGGAATTTAACTTCAGTGTTCGAATAAGGCTCATTTGAGAATACCGTTGAACTCTCCCGACAGGTCTATAAATACCTTTATCCTAAGAAGAGAACTATAGCGGATGTACACAAGCTGTTTTCTGCTCATCCATGAGAAGGAATGTGTTAAGATAGTTAGTCGATAGTTCTTCAAATGTGGATTTCATATCTCCAAGCTCTGCAAACTTGAGGTTTACGACTCGTTAGAAAGAACTTACGGAGAAGTCGAAAACCGCACAAATTATCATTGAAATATTCAAGACAGATGAGAAATAAAGCTAGTTTTCATATGCGGCAGTCCTCTGATTTTATTTTAAATAATCTTCCAAAGTTGGAACCATAGAGGTTTACTCCAGTAAGTCATTCACCTGAAACTGCGCAAAAAGTTAAGATTCAATTTTTTGCAGATAAAGTATCTTTGAATAAACAGTCGGGAACATCGGTAATGAACTGAAGCTTATGGACTTTCCTGAAGCCTGAAATGCGGTCAGTAAGATCAGATCGCGGTACAAGAAAATTGATCAACCTAATAAGATATGCAAAAGTCATGTATCCAGTGTTCTCGATGAAGCTGGCTCCCAAGTTTGATGATAAAATGCACCAATTTAAAAATAAAATAGTTTCAAAATCGTAGCAATCGAAGTTTGTTGAAAGAATACTTTCCCCGCCTGCTAAGCGCCGGTGAGATAGTAAGCTCAGCAGAAAGCATACCGTATTCTCCGGTCGATTAGATGGCATTGCCGTCCTCTTACCCAATTATGAAGTTGTAAGAATAAGAATTTTTTGACCGACGGACAACGGATTGTGTTTCGTTAATTCATAAAAGAAGGGTTCTAGCGCATGTGATCCATACCCAGGTTCCCAGCTTTTCAAAGAAAACATCGCAGAAAATTCAAAATTAATGGGTAATGTATATTATGATTCGAAGATTAATCTTTGGCATTTCTTTTTTGAAGATTATCTATGTTAAATGTCAAATGCAGACAGCTGGTTGAAGCTTCGTAATGTCCTTTAAAGCCCTTGAAGCAGCATTTCGAAAAAAACCAGCTGCAGCAAAAGCTTGTGAAAATCAGAGAGGACCTTTAACATTCTTCAAAATCCCTATTACTTACTAAAACATGGCACATAAAAGAGGTAATAAAACTACGCACATTGCACACTGCTCAGCATTTCACTTTAACGCCAAAAATATGCTTAAGTAACTTCCACTAGTTCCGCCTGGCAATATTTTATCAGTTTCCGCTGCATAAAGTGCAACAGTACTTTTAACTACCGTTTTGCCGGCTGCGAAACTTGCGACTCTATTCTATTTAAGAAAGTATTTGAGTCTTTGTTTTTTTTTGTTTTTGTAAGTATGAAAGTACGAAAGCACGAGCAAACTTTGGCAACTCATAAGCAACACCGTTATAACTCAGTCTAATTTCAAGCAGCCAAACTTCTACACGCCACCACCCACTTTGCTTGAGTGAAATAAATTTTTGACTGCCTTTTCATTTACATTTTGGCATTTCAATTGAAATTTATTTGCATATTCATAAAATCAGTCGGCGAGCCGCCACCCATACGCCTCAGGTCTCCGGCAAAGTGAAGCACAAAGTTTATGGTAAGTGAAGAAATAAGAAATTGTAGGAAAAAATTAGAAGAAAAAAAAAACAATTGTAGAAACTTTGTTGCGATTTTGGTTTGTTGCATGCAACTCTGTATTGTTGCCCCCCAGATTCCGAAATGCAAACGACCGCAAATACGAGTACTGCAGCCTGGCAGGCATAAAGCAGAGTCGCCAAACCACCCTTCTGGCTGTCAATGCAACCCACACGGACCGGCGGCCACGGCCACTTTCATATACATACATATAAATAAATATATCAATATTTCTGTATATCTATTGTGGAACCGATATGAAATTGTTATAAATAAAAGTGCACAAAGTTAAAGATTGAGCATAAAGTTTGCGTCTCACAAAATGTTGTTATCGTAAAACTCTTTTGCCAACTGAGTTTGTGGCAGGTGGAAGACTGTGTGGACTCTGAGGACTGTGAATGCAAACTTACTGTTTATGTTGTACATATGTATGTATCGTACAAGAGTGTAGCTGCCTCGCAGGGAAAAATACTCGTTCTCACCTAGAATCCAACTGGTATTGCCGGTTTGGACTAACTGGCTAAGCAACTGTGCTTTCTTACGCAGTGATGTCCTACGAGCTGACAATTGCCCCACTCTGCATCAGGTTTGATCTAGTTGTATACCAGTTCATTTAGGCATGCTGCGAGAATCTAGCGATAACCTCCAACCATTGCGCTCTCGTGACTATGTTGCACACTTCAACAGAGCAGAGAGAGAGAGAATGGAAGTCAGCCGTGTTGCGCCGGTAGAACAACAACAAAGGTTGGTATGATTTCATCTTCAAAAAACTGTTATTTTACTAGAATTTTCGCTTACTAATTGGCTTTTTTCTGCAGGGTAGCTGCAGACTCTGTGCGGGCTACACTCGTAAAATGTATTTAACTCCGTACAAAAGGAATGAGCAAAAAGTTCGTTATGGAGTATTTTCAGCTCAAGTAACTTTTTGGTCGAAACAATGGCGGAGAAATATAAAATCAATTTCAATTTATTGATTTTAAAACTTCATTGTTGGTATTGGCATTGTTGAGATTTTATGAAACATAAGGGAAATTAAAATAGATTAAAGTTGGTTTGCAAATGTGGGTATTGGGCCGTAGGCTTTTGCATAAATACTACCTTAGAGCTCTTAGAAAAATTATCTCATCTCCGTTGGTACTGAATAAGCGCCATTGTTATGTACCTGAAAGAGTAAAGAAGAAATCAAATCCATCACAAATTTAAAAATTATTTATTCTTCTTCCCTATTGGTATAGGCACCAGAGAACTGATCTGAAAGGAGTACTGGCGAAATGTGTAGAGGCGAATAATATCCATAAAATATTTCTATTCATGTCCCGCCATATCCAACCGCAATTAGAAAATTTGACTAATTTTTTTATATAAAGAATTTTCTGAAATTTTTGGTCGTTGGTAGTACCAGGCTTTGAACCCTAGCCTACCGAACGGCAGTACGCAATGTTAACGACTCCTTTACCTCGGCCACTTGGATCATACGAAGCCGGCGTATTTTTGAGTTAGTCGTTGCATTGATTTTGCGCTGGATTGAAAAGTTGCTGGTGTTGAAGGTGCTTTAGAATGAGAAACAAATGTTTGGCAACTTTGAAAAAGTTCACAGAACCTATTAATGTGGGGCTTCAATCTTTCACACATGGCTTTAGTAGCTAGGTAGTATAGGAATTCCTATTGCATGATAGTTCGGTTAAGCATATTCAGGATCCAAACGTCAGGGATGATTAGCTCAGCCGAAAACTATTGTTTTAGCGGACCAATGCTCGAAGTACGACTTCATCATAGTCGGTTAATGAAATACCTAATCTACACCCATTTGTTTGGGCTTCAGTTTCATCACTTCTTCTTCATAAACTTACTGGCGGTATATCTTCCAGCGGCAACGTTGCGTGGTAGATAATCCTCTCTTCGATCAATAGCTTCACCAGTGGTTGTGCGTAAGAAGCTTGATTTGCTGTGTACCAGTTCCCTTGTAACGTATTGGACATGCGTTCTCTCAGAGAGTAGAAGTGACAGGTTTTTGATGTTAAGACTGCGTGTGCTCGTGAGTTTCGGTGCTTGCATATCTTGGCGACGAAGTGACAGTGGTGTGGTTTGTGCCTCTAGAATATTGAGGACATATCTGCGGTCTAACGAATTCTTTGATACAGGGAAGAAATATTATGATCAACTTTAATTTCATGTCAGAGATATGCTCGAACTCCTTGACATTTTCCGGGCGACCGCTTTTAGTAAAATTAACTAAATTTAACTTCCTTTAATTCTGGTCTGTCCCAGTTTCGAAACCTTGACCCTATCCAGAGAAGCACTCCCTTCAATAGAATCGACGCTCTGTAACCGCTAAAGTGATTTTTCGGCCGAGCTCCTTCTACAATTTGTGATTTAGCGTTTTAATGGCTTTCAAACAAATGGCTGCTGGTTTTTTTTTATGAGGAGCTTTTATGTCATGTCTTTAATATAATTAATAAATATACTCATACATACATCATTACTGCTAAAAAGTGCACTTTCATTTTATATGTAAGTGTTTTTGATTTATATTTGCATGTCTATGGGTTGCACTTTCGAAAAACTAATAAGTCAAACTTTATTGCAACATAGACTTGATAAACTATTTTTTCCATAAACTTTATCGAAATATTTATGGAGATGTGTGTTTTCCAATTACATTATGACCTATATCGATTTGTATTGAAAGTAGAAACTAACTTTCGTGAAATTCCATATGTAGCTCTAGTAGACGCACAAAATGAGTGGCATCCCTGTGGGAAAATGTTTAGATAGGTAAAGCTTGGCTGATTGGTTTCTATGCCATGAGATTTAACGAGCCTTTAGTTAAGTCAGTATTGCCATTCAATTAAAATTACTATCTGCATTAACTTTGAATAGGCTTGATATCAGAAACTTGCACTTCTTAGCTCCATAAAGTGAAAAGAAAAAGTAACTGCATGAAGGCAAAGTTTTGAAAAAGCCATACGGTCTCTCACATTTGACAGTCTTCCATTGAGTTTATTTGTATTTAAAAAGGTAAATCTGTTCTCATGACATTTCCTTCACGGCATTTGCTAGCGAATGGGTCTGTTAGTGAAAGAGGACAATAAAGGTAGAGGAGGCGGTAGACCGTTGGAAGGACCAGGTTTTTGTAACTAATGTCAAGAAAGAAAAAATAATTTCAAAATTTCCTACAAGCCGGGATTTATTTATTAACCTAAAATATGTAACTATAAATTTTCAATTAGTTTATGTGTACGACAAATAAAACTTTTACGGAGTGTAAATGCTTTTTATCTTATTCATATTTGTACAGTTGTCCTTTATCATTTGTGACCGGATTTTAGTTATATCCACAAAATCATGCAATTTTTTAATTGAAGTTTGTGTGTATATGTGTACAAGCTACTTGTAAAATTGTAAGCCTATAAATAGAAGACAAAGTTTAAATATATTTTATTTTGTTGCATTTGTATACTCTTAAGCAAATTCATTTAATATGCAATACGAGGGTGGCCTTTCATGTTTCAGATTAGTAAAACAAAAACAAATATCAATCATAATAAAAATATTCTACCTTGAAATTCTGACACTTTTGCATGCGTTTGAACCAATTGCCGAACCAATTTTGCCACTCTGTTTGGGGTTTCTTCAAAACAGGGGTCGAAAAACCTTGACCTCCCGGTTTATTTCTTATGGACGGGAATAAAAAAGAAGTCATTCGGCGCCAAATGATGACTCATCAAATCAATGTTATGAGTACTCCAAAATGCAGTTTGTCGATGTTTGCGAGCTCATATTGCCGTGGTGATCCGTCTTGGGCGATTAGCACTCCTGTTTTCTTGAAAGACAACTGTCAAACAAATACCTGTGTACTGCTCAGAATAACTGTTCTGCACATGGTCAGTTTTTCCAAAAAAAAAACATCATTCGCTTGGAAGTGCTTCCGGTACGAACAAAATTTGTGGGATTTGGCTCACCTTTAAACAAACCATACGGTCAATTACTGCTTACTTTCGGGCTTATGTGCGTAAATCAAAGATTCATAGACCTCTTTCCAAGCACCGGTATGATATTTCTTTCTTTTCTTTTTTTCAATTCCTTCGATCAATCGACAAGAGCCTTTCTTTGAGCACCCGAAAATTTGGGTGGGTTTCAATGCAAAGAAATTTTTTTAAGTTCGTTCCATTAATGTCGTCTCAATCTCACGCATGACTTTAGAATCAATAACTTCCGGAACAACAGCTAATTTCTGACGAATGGTGTATTTCGTCTAGGAATGTTTTACCACCCTGATTGAATTCACAATACCGTTGATAAATACTGGTCCTCAATGGAGCTTTATCGCAAAAAATTTGATTAGACTCACGTCGAAAGCTGTAATAAATAATTGTTCTGAGTATTGTGTAACATCGAAAATGCCAAACTTTCTGATAAAGTAGGCAGTTGCCATTTTCCAATACTAGATTTTCCAAATTCTAAATCGCAAAATATAAAAAGTGACCCTCGTAATGTGGTTGATGTTATTTCCTTAAGTCAATTTTCGTAATATGATTCTGTCAAAAAATATGCTTGGAGCATTTTTCAAAGCAAAAATAATTTTTGAGCATAAAAACGAAAAAAAAGAGAAATCAGTTTATTTAGAAAATAATCATTTGTACGTGAGTTTGTATAAGAAATGGAAATCAAAATTTAATAATTATTAAAATTTTAGTATATGAAGCGCTACACAGCTCACAAAGCGGCTCTGCACCAGGGCTTTCCCAACACCTTCGAATGTTAATCCCTTTATCTTGGCAAAAGAGGATAGGTGAGCAGCTTTGGGAAAACTGCGCGGCATTCCAGTCAATAAACTAACTGGGGGAACAAAATGTCAGTTTAAGTTTAGCTAAAGAGACTCTTGCTGCCATAGAAAGGCCCACAGCTTACAACGGCAGCGAGCAACCAACACGCCCTTGTTCCAATAAAAATCCTGCTTCTAAGAGAACTCAGCCTCAGAATAGCAGTAGAGTTACTCCAAGATGAGTCCAAGAGGCAAAGATCTCTGAAGAGTCTACATCCGTTGTCGCGAACTACGAGACCCTTTAGTGAGTTGGTAAAAGATCATCTTACACTGGAGATCATTAACGGGGGCCACCCGAATTGTTATATCGTCTCAGACAAAAGCAAGACAGTTTTGTTTGGGTTATGCAAGACCTTAATCTTAATCGGGACGTAGGCTAGTTAAAATTTAGAGTTAAGCTCGTGTTCTGCGCAGACGAAAGTGCAGTCTGGCTCTACAAAGAAGCCATTGCAGAAGGAAGAGACCTGCGACAGGTTTGCTGGGATGAGATCTCGAACCGTCCGAGAGTTTGGGCTTCACTACAGGCAGAAAAGAAGAAGAATTAATAATGGGACAGCTACCAACCAAAGATTGGAAGCCCAGGTCGACGAGGTCAAGGAGTATCAGTTTTGTGTTAAATTCATCATCAGCGATGCTTCTATCCTAGCCCTCCTGAAATGTGAAGGAAGAATGGGCTATGGCTTTTACTCAATATCACATCACAATAAAGGTTCATCAGAAAGGTGAGCATAAACAAGGAAGCAGAAAACGACTTGAGTAATTCTGCCGGTTCTAACACATTCACGGAGGAGGCTACTCCTCAACTTATGGATGCTTCGGGTGAGAGCCTGAACAGAGTATCCTAAATCTTCAGGCAGCATAATGAATGAACCGAGTAACTCTGACCTATCAACGGAAGCTGGGGGTGATAAGTCTAATGCCGCACGAGAATTGCTGAGCATACGTTATGAAAGACCAACTTCTGGGGTCCAAAACTGAGAAGGATGATATGAACGAAACAATCGTAACCTTCCCCGTGGCAAGCCAGAGCCAAAGAACCTAACATCACCCTTTGATGGTGTTGGTTATTCAATTTCAAACTCCAAAAGCCGCAAGAGCTGGATTTATTCTACGCCTCGGCGAAAGAACTAAGGATATTGTTTTGATCAAGAAAAATGGAAATTATAAAACAAGCTTTGTGAATTAAGCTCGGATGCCTACCAAGGAGAAGCTGTTGTAGTAGTTGCCTTGATGTTTTTTTTTCAACAAAACAGGGTGGCCTACTATTGGTTCTACCCGCCTCCGAATGACTAATGGATGTTTAGGAAGAAATTTTATACACTCGAAGGGCTTAAATCTTAAATTTAAATTAATTTTCTCTAATCTTTGAGGTTAGCCCAGTCGAGACTCAAACCTATACCCTTCCGTATGATAGTACGCACTGCTAATCGTGCAAACAGGAGAACTTAATACCTTAGATTTGGCATGAAAAGGATTAAAATAATGAAAGAATGTCTTGAAAAAATATTTTCACTTATCAAATATTCGCCTCCATTAAAAAGCCATAAGCACAAGACACATTCTACGCGTGTAATGCTGTTTCTAGCCTGAACATCCTTATTAATATTAAATCAAGGTGTCGACGCACAAATGAGTGCGCCACTATAATTTGGATTAAATTTTGTTTTGGCTACCAAAGTACAGCTGAGGGTGAACAACAAATTGTTTTGTAAATGGACATTGATGGCGGCAGGCGGCAGGCGACAGGCGCCGAAAACATGGCTAATTGTACACTAGTGGATTAAGTGCGAGGGAGATTAGTTACATGGATTCTCACACTCATTAGTACAACTATATATATTTATGTATATATATATCTCATATATCACACAAAGTATATATGGAAGTTTTTAAATATATATTCACATCCACTACACGTTCCCATAATTGCTGTTGTCCACTCAATCACCCAAACACACAGAAGTAGGGGAGCCAGAAACATACATACATATACATACGAGTATGTATGCATATACAAATTGGCATATGCGTATTTAATTATTCAATTGGCGTATTTTGTGCGTCTAATTCATGGTGAAATAGTTATGGCATACAGCCACCCACACACTCGTATATTCAATGTGTGTGTGTGTTTGTGTGTGTGTAAGCGGGTAGCAAAGGACGCACTTAAACAAGCATGTAAGGAAACATTTAGCCACTTAAGTAATTTGGCATTCAATGGTCAAAGTATGAATTAAGTATGACCGGGTAGTGTTTAGTGTTTAGGCAATAATTTCGGCTAAATTTTCAGGGACAAGATGTGAATGCGTAAGGAAGCAGAAGTCGATTCGTGGTGAGCATAACAAGTGATGGTATAAATATACATTACAAGTAGTTTTCTTATTTCACTATACATGTTCTGTACCACAGAAAGTGAGACTGCTCAAAAGTGAGAAAATGGAATATTGAACCCAAGTATTGGATGAGTGCATAAGTTCGTGCCCGATTTCAAGTGCAAACTAAAATTCAATACAACGAAGATTTATACGCACAGAAGTGAAATCGTTGTGGAGTCTCTGTCGAAGAATATTCATATAAATTAAGTTGGGCAAACTCGTGATTTTTCTGCTGCACAGGATCAGCGGTGCGATGAAAATATTTAAAATAGTATCAAGAACTTTTAAAGTTTTTAAACCGTTCAGAGCCACCGCTCTAAGCTATGCGTCACACTTATTGGCAGAAAAACTTGTTTCGGTGTAAACTGTTTGCACCCACCTGGCGTGTAGACCACGCATTGTGTATTGCTATTCGGAAGGTCCGGCTTCGAAACCCCGTGCGAGTAGCATCCGAAAGTTATAGAAAATTAATTTAAATAAAAAATTAAGTTAAATTTTTAAATTTTTTCGCCCCTCGGCAGGGAATGTCCACCTCTCCGAGTATATTTCCGACATGAAATAAAAACTCCTCATAAGAAAACCATCAGGAGGCGGCTTAGTATTAACTGGAGGTCCCTTCATTTGTTGGAAAAATATCAAGACGCAAACCCTCAAATTGGAGTAGGAGCTCGGTCGATAAATTGCTTCAGCGGTTGCAGAGCGCTATATATATGTATTTATTTTGTAAGGAGGACTACTCTGTACCGACGCCAGTTAGGCTGATCAATGAATCTGATACGATCGAATCAAATAACAAAAGTAAAAATTTTTACAACTTTGGCTTCCACGCGGAGTTTGTGGGTGTGGAATTGTACTGCAAAATAAAGGGAAAGGACACATAAAATGTTATTTTTAGACAGCCGAGAGTCAATTAAAGTATGTCAGAAAATACAAAAAGGCAGAGTGTTTTGGGAGAACACAGTGAACGTAACTTGGGTACCAGATTCAGAATTTTCAATGTCTTTGAATGGAACATGAAGAAACACTCAAAATACTGCAGTTTAGATGATGTTATGCCAAATTAATTTGGGGCAGCTGGAGTTGTAGGTAGACAAAAGAAGCAAAAGAGAGCTTGACATTTCTGTGGCTGTATTATCGGTGCATCTCGAGGTTACATCTCCAAAACCGAAAAAACTGGAATCAGCTGAGTGCGGAGCTTGCACAGATCTCATATGCCTCACGATACGACCAACTTGGCTTAGGTACCCTACCAAGTAAGCAAATTATGACATCAATTAACGTATGGAAACCACAAATTTGTTTATCAATACCGCTAGTTCTGACCGATAATTAATATATTATTAAAGCACACCTGTGTACCGAATTTTCTTGAAATATTTTATGTTCAGGAAAGGCATAGAATTTTAAAAAAAAATTATATATTTTCCTTTTAGGCAATCTCGTTTTTCGTGAAACAGACCTTCATTACATAGGGACTGGCGTAAACTATTATTTTTGTGCAATACATCTGCATAAGGACGTGTTTGGGCCGGGATCATTCAAGCCCTAGGTCCAATAAAAGGCCACAATTAATACATCAGCGTGATAAGATTTTACTGTGAAACTCTCAGCTTCTCTGTCACATGTACTAAAGTATCTGAACCGACGAAAGCTAAATTCATACTCGGGACTCAGACTCAATGGCTGAGTGCCGAACGAGTGACTGTGGCATTACTTGGTCACACTTACTTCAGTCTAACTGTATGTATAAATGAATATGTTGTGTATATATTAGCTGCTCTCATACCTTTCTTTTTGTCTGCACCCAGTGCAAATTGCTTATATTTTTTCCACCCCAACGCCCAATATAATTTGCCACTTATTTATGGGTAATTATTTCAGAATAAATTGGACCAAAATTGGCAGCTGAGTTGTCACACTTATCGATTATTGGACAAACAAAAACAACTAATGAAACACATTAATGAAATAAGTAAAAAAAGGTTGGAGCAGAATCCGAAATTTGGTCGTGAAGAAAGAAATTCAAACAAAGGCAAAGACTTCAAAAAAAAAAAAAAATATATATATATACATATATATATATATAGATAAATGTAAGAAAATATATTTCAAGTAAACTGTAAATATCAGGAAAGTAATACAAAAACAAAACAAAAAAAAAACCCAACACTCAAGCTCAATCATGAAATTCCCATCTTTTTAACCCACTTTCATAGGCTCGTTTGTCATATTGACTTTAAAGCACGTAAGATGGTAAGATTTAAATATCACAGCTTGTGTCTTCGGGCTTTTCTTGCCATACTCAACAATGCTTCAATAGACTCACGCTGTTTTATTGAAATTGAAAAATACTTTTGCTCGCAAAACTTCTCTTTATTCATGAGCACGCACGCACGCACATTGTTTTTGACTCTTTCTCTCGCCTTTGCCACTTGAAAAAGTCAATCTTTTGCGTCGTTTCAATGCTTTCGATTTGAAATCGATGACCAGCCACTTGAAGTCTTAGGCATTTGCATACATTTTTTCCAAACATTCATTTGTGGCCTCTGACCGACTGTCAGCCTATGCAAATGGCCTGGGGGAAGAAAAGTTTTAGTAGGCAGACTCTTTCTGACCATCTTTGTGGGGCACACTTTGTGATTGAAAATGTGTAAGTGTGTATGTATGTATGTTTGTAGATAAAATATCAGTATTTATCCCTATTTATATTACATTTCGTTTCATTTCCTTGGTGGCTGTTGTAGCATTCAGTCCATTTTGCTCTCATCCAATCTATTAGTTGGGTCAATAACCATTTGCTCAATTTTACACTTTAACGCCTTTTTGTTTTGGACCAACTGCTCAGTTGCCTACTCTGCTTGTTCGGCCCATTGAGCTCACTTGACTTTTTGCACTCTCCTTAAGTGGCCGTTTTGCTTTTCATACGTACAAGTTCATAATGTTTAAGTACTACAAATTGATTAGTTGTCACAAAAATGGCCACAAAATCGTAAGCGAAAATAGGCTTTGGAGGAACTAAGCTGTTAAAAGCGGTGGAAATCGTACAATGAAATTTTTTATAATTTTATTCACTTTTGTTTTTACATTAAAAATAGTTTGTAATACAAAAAAAGTCATTCTTAGTTACTCTTGCCTGAATCACCGCTAAGTTATAGACAAAAAAAAGGTGAAACATATTTTTGACTGAATTTTAATCTATTTAAAACTACACGTCTAAAATGATAAATACAATAAAAAAAATTAAACAAATTGTCGAGTCTTCACGTATTTATTATTTTTATCTTTTTTATTTTGTATTATATTTTCTTCTTCACCATTATTTACCTACAGTCGAAATGATTACAACGCCTAAGTAGTTTCCTTTTCGCGGTTCGGAGTCTTCTCTGACTGACCCCTTGTTTAGTGACAAAATATTTTTCGTCTTGTGGGCTCGTGTCTGATTCTCCACTTCACTAAGTTGTCGCAACACCTTAATTTTTTCCGCCAATATTGGTATTGCGGTCCGGTCTTTAATCACGACCGAAAAAGGCTTTACTTTTACAAACCGTCTCTTCAAGACCGCCAAGTTCGTGATATCTTCTTTTCATAAAAAAAATGTCTACCTTTTTTAAATAAACAATTTGTGGGCAAATTTTGATACTTTTTAACAGGCTCCAACATTCAAAAATTACGTATTTTATTATATTTTCCAACTCCTGATAGTGGACTGTATCTAATTTTGTAAGCAAACAGGATATTGTTTGAATTCTTGTTTTTTTTTAAAGCAGTGAAGCAGTTAAAACTCTTATAATAAAATCGACAACGGGCCGTAGAGTTTACCGGGGTTATGACAATCCTTATCCGGTCAGTTCAACGGTCCCGCAGATTTTCCATGTAGTCGAGAAAACTTACAAGTTTCGAACAAAATGTAAAGAATTTCAACTCTCCATTTTATTTCTAAAAAAAAACATCTAGCAAATCCTCTTCTTACTTCTGCCACCTAAGAAAATCGACTTGAAATTAAATATAATAGGATCGGCTTAAAAGATAACCCCAACAATAACTAAAAATCTAAAAGTTGAAAATTATATTGGGTTTTCTAAGAGAGGGCTCTACTAGTATTATTTTACCTCGTGTTCATCTGTGGCAACAACAATTTGTTTCATTCATTTAAAAATGCCGAAATTTGTACCAGATAAAGTGTTTTTGCGGGGAGTTCTACTTCAATACTTTAACATGAAGAAAATTGCTACCGAAGCCCATTGTATTTTACTGGATGTTTATGGGGACCAGGCTTTAGCCGAACGAATGGGCCAAAAGCGATTTGCACGGTTTAAAAGTGGCAATTTCGACTTAGACGACGGAGAACGACCCGGACAGCCAAAAAAATTTCAAGACGAAGAATTCAGGATATTGCTCGTGGCAGATGCATGTCAGACGCAAGAAAAACTTGCAAAAGTATTAGGAGTTGATTAAACAACCGTCTCCAGACGACTAAAATCATTAGGACTCATCTGGAAGCTTGGAAATTGCGTGCCTTATGAATTAAAGCCAACGAACGTCGAACGTCGATTCAACATGTTGGAAATGTTGCTTCAACGCCACCAAAATAAGTAACTTTTGCATCGGATTCTCACTGGTGATGAAAAACGGATTCATTATGATAACTCAAAGCGCAAAAGATCGTATGTGAAGCCCGGCCAACCATCGATATCCACGGCAAAGCCGAATATCCATCCATCCATCCACAAGGATGTGCTCTATTATGAGCTATTGAAATCGGACGTACAGACGATCAATGGGGACCTCTACCCAAAACAATTGATTCGTTTGAAAAAGGCTATCGCGGAAAAACGACCAGAATATGCGACCAGATATGAATCAATAATTTTTCATCATAACAACGCTCGGCCACATGTTGCAACGCCAGTTAAAAACTCTTTGAATAACTGTAGGTGGGAAGTTCTGCCTCACCTGCCTTATAGCCCAGACATAGCACCTTCCGATTACGACTTGTTCAGATCAATGCAGAAGGCCCTCACCGGAGTAGGCTCCACTTCAGAACAGGGTATCAGAAATTGGCTCGATGCTTTCTTGACCTCTAAGACGGAGAAGTTCTTTTTGGACGGGACCCACAAACTGTCAGAAAGATGGGCAAACATCGTAGCTTCCGGTGGACAATACTTTGCGCATTAAATGTATAACAATTTTTTCACAATAAAGTTTTAATTTTCAAAAAAAAAAACGCACGAATTAATGCATACACCCAATGTAAGTGGCGAAATCAAACATTTCTGAGCAAACACGTTTGGTGTAAAAAATTTTCGAAGTGAAACTATCTCATTAGAATTTTTGTATCAAGACACAAAGTCCGTATGCGATGAAAAATTTGTGAACTCAAATTCATAATCAGGACATAAATACCCCATAAAACGATGGTGTTAATGATTGACTATTTTGGTCATCTGTACACTTTAGTTATAAGTAAAGAATTTCTTAAAATCACTAAAACACAAAAAAATGTTAACAAAATTGTCCACAAAACTTTAAAATTTATTATAATTTTTTTTTTCTTTCTCTATTTCTCTCATGTTTACGTACCCTTGCATCAATGCGATTTGGTTAACACTTCAATTATAAATATTTTGTTAAGTCACACATTAAAACTTATTTCTTACATCGGAATATCTTAGGTGTCTTAATTAAGATAAAATAATCTTAATTGTAAATACAAAAACATTTAAATGGCTTTAACTTGTTTGAGTCTGCCCTAGAAAAAATATTGTATTTTTTTTGTGCCACCAGTAGCCAAACGCAGCAACTTTGTTAACTTAAGCTTTGCAAAAACTCTCTTAACAACATCATTTGTATGAGTTTACGCAGTTAGTTTTCATTGACCTTAACCACCCACCCAGCGCCCAGTCGCACTACATGCGAGCCTCGCGTTGCGCCTATTATGGTTTATTTTTCGAGTGGCTCATTTAGTTCGCCTTCCGCATATTATGTTTCCCGTTGTTATGTACCGTTATTTTTATTTTTATCGCATATGTACTACGCTGCTGCCGGTTACTGAATGCGTAGAGTCGCCATTAAGTATCGTCTCTCAACACGTTTGTAGGATTTTTTGTTTCGTTTCAATGCAATGGATTTTCTCGCTTCGCTTGCGACCAAACCGACCTTTATTATTATTATTATTATTACTACTATTAGTACATGTATTACAACTGCTGTCTCATTTCGAGTTTGCTTCGTCGGTTGTACTTAGGTTTTCATTTTCATTTTCAGTTTCATTTTCGGTTTTTATTTGTATTTGTTCTTCTGTTAGTTCTATTTGTTTGATGCTAATTTTATTTATTTTCCGCCCATTCACCGGCTTGCCTGGTTTCCACTTTCCCTCCCTCCACGGGCGTGTCATTTATTTGCTTGTTTGTTTTGTTTGCTGGTCGTTTTATTGCCTTATTGTGTGAAAGACATTTTTATTAATTTTAGTTCTTTGGTGATTAGTGTTTTTTAAGTTTTTTCTTTTGTTTATTTATGGTTGATGATTTCTGGTGTTTCCGCTATTTACTTAACTCAAGGAAATTACGTGGTTTGGTGTGTAGGCGAGTGAGAAGCTTTTATGGTTTTGATAAAGAGAAAAATTCTCATTCTACTTGCGCCTTGCCAGCCGCTGACATCAACTATTGGTGTTATATTATCTGGCCTTTCTTAATTATTTTCTCACCTCAGACCCTCTATTGCCCATTTGTTCTTATTTATTGGGTAAACACTGAGTTCCACTGGCAGGGTGTCTACATCTATCTTTTAACATCTGCTAAACTGAGACACATTAAGACGGAAATTGCAATGATAATTTCAATCAAGGAAACATTAGTTAAAGAGATGATATTTTGGTAATTCATAAAAGCCACAGTTCCTCATTTAATTACCCACATTTCCTTATTTATTGGCTCAAACAAGTTTTGGAGTAAAAACAAAAATATATCAGAAAGAAAAAATGTTCGCTGTTGACCGAAAATAGTTTAGAAGTAAGAATAAGTATTGCCT